ACATGGTGTTGAAGGCCTTGCTGAAGTCCAAGTGGATGACATGCACGGCCTTTCCCTCATCCCCTAGACAGGTCACCTGGTCATATGAGTCAGCTGTCTCAAAGACCTGGGTTAAAATCCTCAAAGCTGTCAATAATTCAAATGACAAGGGCCCTGATATTGTTAATGGTTTCAACCCAACACAAGCTAAGGAACTTCACACATGTGGTAATTGAATGGAAATGTTAAATTCTGAAAGTTAAGACATAAGAACTAGTCTCTCAATTACACATAACTTCAATTTGCAGATGAATAGGTTTCCCAAATGAGTAATTTCCTATTTCCCAGGGAACTTCCTATTGTAAAAGATAGCACTAGAAGAACAGCTGAAAGACCACAGAAGGTAATGAACAGGAGACAAACTGAATTGCAAGGATTATCCAGCCAAAAGAGAGCCCAAGATGACTAGGTATGCTGGGTAATGCCAACTCAAATACTCAAAATGGGCCAAGTGGTCTCCAAAGGAAACACAGCAAGGTACTCCATCTGTCACAGCTGTTTGTGGACTGAGCAGAGCAGGGGATTAGTGGCCTAGTAAGAATGCTTGTCCTGGCACTTCTTCCCAGCCCTTCCTAATGTCTATAAAAAGAGAAGGTGGCTAAACTTATTACCTTCATGCAACACGAAGCAAGGAATCTCCTCTGAATTCTTCCAGAACAGTGTATTCCTTGTTTTCATACAGCAAAGCACAGCATATCACAGAGGACATACACATCTCCATATATTTTCATTTTGCAGTGAAAACAGCTACACAGTGTCCACTGCTGACAGCCAGGCTTATTTAGAGGCTAAACCTTCACTTCATTGTTACAAAGTTTCCCCAAGAATCTGAAAAGCAATTTACCAGCAGAGCCAGCAAATCTCATTTCAAATAAGATGCCACCGGAGCCCGAGTCCGTACCTAACAGTGGTCCTGGCAGTGCTATATCTTTCCGGAATACTTTTTTGCTAGCCAGCTGCTTGGAAGCCTCTTTACTTTTCATTGTGAGATGCACTTTCTTTTCCAACAAATACAGTTGATGAAAATCTTAGAGCAGAGTCCAAGGTGATGCTTTGTTTCTTAGTGACAGTATCTACCTATTTTTTCCAAGCATTAAGTCTGCAGTCTCACTTTGCTGTTCCTTGGAGGACCAGCTGAACCTGTTCCTGGCACATGCACGTTCAGCAAAGCAATGAGACACTGAATCTTCAGTATCTATGGAGGAGAATAAACCCAGTATTTAAATCTGTTTCCCAAGACAGATTCTCCCAAGTAGGTTGTTGGAAAAAATAGCCAGGCACACATCATTTTTTCAAATCTGAAACATGAAGCACACAGATGCAGAACACATGCACTCCACATAGCCACTGCTAACCGAAAATTAACCTGGATAAGCATCAAAAGGCAAAGCCAGGTTTACACAGTAAATTAAGAAACAGGCAGCAAAGCAAAGCGAGAAATACTGAAATCTATTTTTCCTGAGCTGTTCTGAAGTTTTAAGAGTACAGTCAGTGTTAACTTTCACATTGCTTATCAATTAATGGGTAGCTTTGTATAAAAGCCTATAACCATATTTAAACAATAAACCTAAATTTCAAACAGATCTAGCCATTCTTTAAGGGTATGTATTTTCTATATAAGAAAAAATGTAGACTTAGAAGGGTAAACTTATCAACACATTTTTACTGCATTGTCTACCATCCAGTTGCTTTTTTAAAATTAAAACATGTAATAAATATTTGGACTATTTTGTTCAACTATTCAGTTGTTACAATCCAGCTTTTCATCCTGCAAGGTGTCAAACACTATAAATAAGACAGGACCTATCATCAGCAAGAGGCATTTAATAAAAGTAACAGCTAAAATAAACCATGGCTTTGTTTAAAACTGAACTGTAACTGTTTGAAATGGGACTGTAACATTGTACTGAAAGTGTTAAGCTGATATACTCAGACCTAGCAGTATTCTTCATAGTGGCTGAATATTGCTATAATAAAACACAACACAATACCAGGCCCCTTTCTTTTGTAACTGTGTCATAATTAATGTAGTCCCAAACTAATACTGAACCTTAGGAGTGACCTTAGTCATTGCTTAGAAAAGACTAAGCAGTGACAACATCCATTTTAAGCAGAATTTCTTTTCACTCTGCTAAATAAAGCATGAAAAAGCAAGAGCGTATCTTTTAAACTACCTGACATGTGATGTTATATCGAATTTAAACAGAACTGACATAACAAGTGCATAAGCATTAAGGATGTACCATCCTGATTAAGTACATATTTTAAAGGGTAAGAGAACAGCACTAAATGCTTAACATTAGACTGTGATTCCTGAAAAACAGAAGTTCTCTGTTTATTAGCAGAACAAACACAGGACAAGTGGCACAGAGACTAGGTATACTTTATTTGATATACTTATTTCCTTGTGAGACAGTCCTTATTAAAAACATTTTTTTTTCATTAATCTAACAGATTTGTGTTGTGGACTCACAATTTAAACCTGAATGGACTAAATAAGTTTTATATTTGGCTATTTGCCCATTTTAGAGATATATCAAAACAAAAACCAGCCTAGACTGGTTTTAAAATTGAAAGTATTAACAACAATTTGATTTAATAATCCTATGAATTATCAGTTTGCTTTTCAAAAATCTGAATTAATGCTAAAGGTATACAGTAAAATTAAGTCAAAACTTATTTATGGTGTTTCTCCCAACCCAATTCCCAAAAATCACATAGAATGAAACACCTACTAATGGAATTTGACACTAATTAAACTGGGATAAGAGAAGCTCTCCCTTTTTGGGTCCCCCCTGCAACAGCCAAAAGGAATAGGATGCTTATTTCACATGCAGCTGATATCTACCACTCAGGGACTGGTAATTCTTGCCAGCTCCTTGATACAAATCCTATCTACCATGTCTATGATTAATTTGTTGATTTGTTTCATTTTAGAGCCTAGTTCATGAGCAGGTTATTTTCTCTGGTTTTAACAGCTTTTACTTTGTCTAGCAAATACGATGCAGATTGTTAAAATTGTGAAGACCTGGCTAATTCTATTATTCCAAAGCCAAAAATGAGCTTTTATTTCTTTCTTACTGCAAGTTTCACAACATGGATTGTCCTTTCCAACATGCTTCAGGAAACACAAGAACAACAAACAGAAATTAGAGTTGGCCTCAGAAGCACTCGGAGACCCTGCCTGGGACCTTAGGAGCTCCTCTGCTGTGCCAGGCTGGCAGACAGCAGCTGATGTGCAGTGACTAGAACACACCAATTCTGCAACCTCCAGTTACCATGGACCCAAGTGGTAACACACAACAACCCTAACCTGGTAGGGCCTGTGGCACCTCTGTCTCATCACATGGTCAAGAGCACTCACTCTGGCACAAACTACCTTTCCAGGCAGGAAAAATGGAACTCTAAGTACAGGAACCAGGTCTGAGGGCTAAGGGAAGAGTTGTAGGCATGAGGCCCCATATAAAGTGTTTTTTCTCAGGGCACTTGCAACCAGCATCACATTCTAGCAGTCTGGCTATTGTCAGCCAACCATAATAGTGGCAAAATTTCAAGAGTTTCAGCAAAACGGAAGTTATGTCCAATTATTGTATCCTTTTTCCAGTATTGTTACATTTTTAAAATGTAGTAAATAATGGAATACTTGTAACTTTCATTTTCAAAAATCAAGTAAAGTAACCTCTGGTTTGGCAGATGTACCAGCAAAAAGGTGGTTTTTTTTCTTACAGCCTTTTGACTTATCTGGAAGTACGTACTTTTATGTACTTCTGAAAGTACATAAAATGTGTTTTTTACCAAAAAGGAGACAAAACTAGGATAAAGTCCAGAGCTATCTACTGGAGTTTATGTATCTGTGTTGAAGGGCAGAATCTGTGCTCTTCCTTCATAAACACTGTTCTAGTCACTTTCTCAAACACAGATCCACAGAGACGTTCTAGGGTTTTAAATAGTCCCCCCAGCATGTATCACTGCCCGCCAGCAATAAATGCTATGGTCCTTGACTTATTCATGTTTTCATAAAAATAAATACCTTTTAATTAAACAGATTTTCCCTTCTTTTTGAAATTACATTTGAGTCAGAGGGATGAGTGGTTGCTTAGTTCTAAAAGAAAATCTAAATTATTGAATGGGTTCAGATTTATGTAGAGATAATTACAGAAAAGGTAGGTTTAGCTGTGAGAACACTTGATTCTTTAAGCCCCAAGCAGTAAGTTTACTTAGTCCTATGACTGCATCCTCCAACCCAGTGATTCAAACTCCTGCTTTCTGTCACAAAGATTTTGGCTACTGAGGATACATCCCATCCTTAGTAATCACATGCAAAATAATTATTAAAAAAATCTTAAACCTAACACGTGCAGGTATTAAGCTCTTTTTATCCTGATCACTTATCCAAGACTGAAGGTTAGAAAAATTTTATTCATTTTGGAAGTAGAAATACTGCTATTTATGATGTTCTAATTTTCCATTTCAACATCAGTAAAGCAAGGAATTATTAAACTACCTGCATATCAAGCTCTCTGAAAGACTAGTGAGCACTTACATAGTACTTAATGGACCATATACATAGGCAAACAGAAACCTGACGCTGATGGTGCCAACATAGTTTCTTTATCAGTATAAACACATGAAATTTTATTCCAATTCATACTGTTTCTTACCCTCCCTATCATACTCACTGATCAAAGTTTGGTTGGGCTTTAAATATTTCAGAGTATAGTCAACAGTCCTGGATACATAACTGCAGTGGGTTAACCTCGGCTGGATGTCAGGTGCCCACCAGGCCCCTCTCTCACTCCCCCTTCAGCAAAATAAAGGGGGAGAATAAGATGAAAAACTCGTGGGTCAAGATAAAAGCAGTTTAATTAAAGCAAAGGCCAAGGCCATGCACAGAAACAAAAGGTAAACAAAGATGTTATTAACAGAACAAAAAGGTAAACAAAGATGTTATTCTCTGCTTCCCCTCAGTAAGCGATGTCCAGCCACTTCCAAGGAAAGCAGAGCTTCAGTGTGTGCAGCAGCTGCTCCTGGAAACAAACCCAGTAACCAATGCCCCCTCCTCCTCCCTGCCCTTGGCTGTTATGGCTGAGCTGAGGTCACATGGTCTGGAACAGCCAATCCGGGTCAGCTGTCCCGGCTCCGCCCCCTCCCAAGCTGTGTGACACACCCCCTGCTGGCTGCCAGGGTGACACTCAGCACTGGGAGGGTGCTGGGGGGGACTGACTCCAGCTCAGACAGACCCAATACAGTAACACAAGTCATGTAGTACCTCAATCCCCCATGGATTCTTTGTGTATATTGAAAGGTACCTAAATTCAATTTTGCATAGAAATCTGAATCACAAATAATCAGATGTTTTAAAAGATTCAAGAAAAAAAATCAAGCTATTTTCCATTTAATAATGCTATCTGCAAAGCTAAGCTTCTTGTTTAGAATGGTTTTACTTAAAAGTAGTGGGAGTTTACTATACACTGGTTAAGAAGATTTTCCTCTCTGGTTTACAGGAGGACCAAAGAATTACATAGTAAAACTAAGTATTTAGAGACAAGTAAATTAAAACAAAAGCTTGTGTGTTTCAGAAGGGGGTTTTGATAATAAAACTTAACAGTGAAGAATTCGTAAGAGCTGGTGAAGCTTCCCCTCTCAAAAGTGGCATAGAAAGTAAACTATCATTGAAGATTTTATGTTATAAATAGTTAAGCTTCATTATTCCTCTGAAACTCTGAGAAAAAAAAAAAGCTGGAATTTAAATCTCTTGTTATAATTCTGAGGTAATCTTTAAAATATTAAATTCTAACTGCACTGTGGAATAGTTTTATAGTGTTGTTATCAAACATTACATTAGAGACAGCCTTGATCAAATGCTTTTCCTGTACTAGAGTTGTATTTTGCAATTAGAATTTGTGTCAATCTGATGGGGGCAAGGGGGAGAAGTACTCAACAGGAGTGAAAGCACACTATAAAAAGTTATCTAACACCAAAAAAAGATAAAAGTTTTTGTTCTCTACAAGTCCACCAGCAGCTTTAGTCTGGTCTAGAAACAAGAAGCATTCTTACAAGCGTCTTGGTAAAAAACTACAAGCTTTTTGTTAAATAAAAGGCTTTTAGAGGTTCCATGTGACTGCTTGTATAGCCTTGTTCTTTGGTTCTCTGTAAGCGTTAACAATTATTTACAATCTATCCAATAGCTTTCTCTATGCTTCTCTTCTACTCCCGTGAACACTGTTTTATTTCAAAAAATCTCTACAAAACTTATGGGGAAACAGCATAAGATGTCATAATAGCTCATCTGATTGTACAGACCTTGGAAATAGTCTAATTTTAAGTGTTAGAGAATCAGATCTACATGATTAAAAACTAAGTAACAAGAACTAGCCACAACCAAAAGTTAGTTTATGACTGCTCAAAAACAAACCAACCACTACCCTAAGGTAATTTTTAAAATAAATATCTGATGCAGAGTCAGTAACCTAATCAATATATTACCAGAAAGTGGTTACACCACTTGCTATATTAAAGAAGCGTGGCCAGCAGGTGGAGGGAGGTGATTCTCCACCTCTACTCTGCTCTTGTGAGACCCCCCCTGGAGTGCACCGTCCAGCTCTGGGGCCTCCAACATAAGAAGGACATGGACCTGTTGAAGCAAGTCCACAGGAGGGCCACAAAAAATGATCAGAGGGCTGGAGACAGGCTGAGGGAGTTGGGATTGTTCAGCGTGGAGAAGAGAAGGCTCCGAGGAGACCTTATAGCAGCCTTCCAGTACCTAAAGAAGGCCTACAAGAGAGATGGGGAGGCACTCTTTATCAGGGAGTGTAGTGATAGGATGAGGGGTGACATTTTCAAGCTGAAAGAGGGTACATTTAGATTAGATATTAGGAAGCAATATTTTACTGTAAGGGTGGTGAGACAATGGAACAGGTTGCCCAGGGAAGCTGTGGATGCCCCATCCCTGGAGGTGTTGAAGGCCAGGCTGGATGAGGCTTTTGAGCAACCTGGTCGGTGGAGGGTGTCCCTGCCCATGGCAGGGGGGTTGCAACTTGATGATCTTTAAAGTCCTTTCCAACACAAACTATTCTATGATTCTCTGATGCATAATGGTCTAAACAGAGCATGTCATTGCAGGTTGTGGGCGTTTTTCCCCTCCCCTTTCCCTTTTAAGTCTTTTGGTTTGCAACACTTCAGTTTAGACAGCTACAGCAGGAAGCCATTCAAGAATAATTCACTGTTTAAGTAAGTAGTATCTGGCTGGTACTCATTGCACAGTCATGTAATGCATCTCCTAATCACATCAAAATTTCTTACATTAACCATGCACCACAGGAAAAGAAAAAATAAATTCTGCTAGGGAAGCAAACTAACTTTCGTACATGTGTAATAAATGGCTGACAGCTTCCTCATCATCAGAAGCTAAAGCTCTGTCAGTTACTGTAGACAACAATGAAAACCAACTGAATTGGCAGCTACAAGTACCAGATAACAGGACCAGCTGTATTAGTGCTACAGTGGTAAACTACAAAGCTAAAGTTTGAGAGACAGAAAAATACAAGTATTTTGCTTTTAATAAACCTGGAAATGGTCAAACATACCCTAAAAATGCTCATGGTAATAAACATACCTCAATGTAAAGGAATACAAGTTAGAAGTTTTACCCATTTTCTGTTATTTACTCCTTCCATTATTCCTCTGAAAAGCACAAGTATCATTGGCAATGTATGCAGGTGTGCCAAAAACAAATAATTCTCTTTGGAATAATACAGAACACTTTCCAAACGTCTCTTTTTGTGGTTAAAGTATTTTAAACCCTAGATTGAGAACAAGGAACTAAAATTTTAACTGACTCAACTAATTGTTCTGATTAGAGACCTCTTAATCACAGTCAACAAAATTAATTTCATGTTTCTCCCCAACACAACTTGCACTTTAAATATTGCTTCCTATCACCAGTCATTTTCTTAGTCCATAACACAAATGGAAATAGCTGTAGTTTTAAATACATTATACATAGGAAGAATCATGCACTTACCAAGTGAACATAAGGCACAAAGTATCCAAAAAGTGCAGCTGGGATCCCAAAAGCCCAGATTCGGTAACTGAGAACTTTGAAAACGGAGAAATTGCATATCTTTTTTTCAGGAAGAAATTTGAACTTTCCCTTCTTTCCTCCCTCCTTGTCTTTGGCATGGGAAACAAGAGGTTTGTACGTAAAGCCAGCCAGGAACAGAATAAACATAAGGATGCACAGGACCCGCAAGGTGTTGTATAGGCCAACAGAATCGAGCAAAACTCTCAAGAGGAAGGGCAGTGACACGGTGAACAAGCTGCTGCCTGCAGTGACAATGCCATTCACTAGTCCAAGGCGTTTCTTGAAATAGTGCCCTAGAATGACCAAGGATGGCTGGTATGCAAATGAGCAGCCACAGGCAAATAAGATTCCATAGGTGAAATATAGAGGTTCAATGGTGCTATATCAGAAGAAAAAAGAAAAAAAAATCATTAGTGTTTCATACAACACTGTATGCTCACGTTCACCTACTTTTTCAACGATTTGACATGTTTACAGAAGTGAGTTAAGAGTTTGTGTCTACTTCTAGTTGAAATACACGGTGTCAGCTTAATTCAGCAATTATTCTATTTTCTTCCACTAGAAATTTCATAAAATTCACTGAATAGGCAAAAAGCAAAATTACATTTAAATATAATTAGACCAAATAGTCTTATTAAATAAAGTTTTAAAAATCGTTGTCAGGGTGAATTAGCCAAAAGTAAGTTCAACCATTGCTGGGTTTTTCTTTTCCAAAGAAAATTACATTGTTTTGATTTACACACTTCTCCACTGTGCTAGCAGTTCAAACATAATACTGAACACACCTCATGAATCCAGAAAAATCAAGTATTTACATAGTTTATCATGAAAATACAACAGCAAAAGTACTAAACATTATTGATACTAAAAAATTAAACAAGAATACTGTCAAGCTTTGGCAATATAATACAATATTAGTAAATTATAGCCTTTTTAGGTATTAATTTTTTAGACAAATAATCTTTTTTATTAAGTATTCTAAATTCAGTGTTTTGATCGAGATATTGGATATGCTAAGGAAAAAAATTAAGAATGAAACATTTCAGCTCATATTAAGGAGGATCTTCATCCCAAGGCTCTCCACCATTACCTTCTACTATACAACTGAAATGAAGCAGAGCCATTGTATTAGATCACAGGCAGACATATGACATTAAAAGGTACTTGTACAAGAAATCTTAACAGTATGAAGTAACAGTGTTAATATAATTAATTACATCAGTATTTACTATTAATAAGTCAAAGAAAACATCTTTTACATTTAGACGGAAGAGGCAATGTGTGAGAAATATTTTTATAATATTTGAGGTGGCAAATGATGATTTAATTTTTTTTAATACTATGTTTTCAAGGAACCATGGCCTCTCTTTTATCAGCTAATGTGTTTTTAAAGCAGTTATAGAAAACCATTTAACCTGTTAGCCAATATATTACCAGTTTGTTTTTAAGAAGTATGAATGTGTTATTTAGTGCTTTTCATTGTAGGATGTTACCTGACAGCGTCCTAATATACCAAAAAACACTCTGCAAGCTTCCCATACAATTACAGAAATTCTCAGAAAGTAGTATTTGACTGAACTCTGGTTTTGTGTATTCTTGTGAAAAAAAGTGTATAACATAATATTGTTACTTTCTACATTAAACTATCAATTTCTAAAACTGATTATACACAAGGTAAGCCAGCAGAAACAAAATAAGGTGGAAAGACTGATTACCTTTATCAGTGGAAAATAACCAGGAAAAATAAAAATAGAAGTTATAAAATGAGAGGAGGAACATAATATATATAGTAAGGACAGAGAACTTCTGCGTCCATCTGTAGATTCAAAGACTTTGCAGCATGACATACATAGTAAAATATTTTCCTGCATTACAAATACTTTTATATATCAGCTAAGAGATAAAATTTATATTTATAATTCAGTATGTAACAAAAGCAGTAAATCATACTTAAATTTATCTGCTGTACAATATTCTACTTCTAGAACATTGACTTCCATATCTGAACTATATTCCCTCAGTTATCTGATAACATCATAGGCATAAATCATTTTAGTGTAAGTATCATAATGAAACATCAAGAATGCACATTAACATGGCATGTACTCTAACAAGAATTCACCTCTCCTCTAAAAGTGCTCCTCAAATTCTAAAACAAGATTCAAATAAGCTATTTTTGAAACCTTTACAAAATAACTACCTTTTGCATGCCTCTTCTGTGCCCTTGTTCCATGGGATATCAGAGAAACACAACGATGATAGCATTTTGGTCAAAGACAATATCTTTATTTTATCAAGAGGTTTAATTTATAATAATGAGACTGTTTCAGTATTCATCACTTAACATGCTGCTGAGAAAGCAAGGAGGAAGACAGACTTTTCCAAAATGCATTCTTTTAGTTTTTACCTCACCTGTGGTAACAAGCCTCTTAAAACATACCAGGAAGTGAGGTTTTGCTTGTTTTTGTTTGCTTTAATAAAATTAATTGAACAAAATATTTGCACTTGGATTAACCAAAAAATAAAACAAAGATCAGAAACTTGCCCAAGTAACAAGAAAACAAAGCTTTTTTTCCCCCCATAAATTATTCCAAGAATAAATATAAACACTACTCTCAGCACCTAAGACAGCACTATTTTCCTCCTCTTCCTGTAAATTTATGGATATGTTTTCACATTAGGGGACATACGCCCAAACTAGACATTAGCCCAGGCACAGTGCCACACAGTGTGGATATTCATCACAGACAGCTCACACATCTATCTGATTCAGAGTACAGGCATAGAAAACACATTTTCACAAGCCTGCCTGTACAAAAACATTTCCATCTATGTAGGAAACTCTTCTGAATTTTTTTGCTTTTGAATGTTCCTCTGCTTATTCTGCTAAAGGTGGGGGAAAAAAGCAGAGTGAGAACAGAGCTAACTGTGGCTTATTTTCCTTCTACTTCTTACCCTAACTTCACTATCCAATTTCTGCTGACGACTAGAACGAGTAAGTTTCCCGTTTTCTCATCTTCTACTGGGCATGTGCAACAGATCAACCATTCTAACTTCTTAGTATTTATTCTGCAAAAGTTACAGAAATATAAAAAATGAAGTGTAATCTGGAGAAAAAAAAAACTCAACTACTATTTGAGTTTTTTCAATAACACAAGAAAGAACTGAGATCACCTTAATAAAGCCAATAAGCCCTAAGTTTATGTCATTATACCAAGGTTTTCACTATCTCTGCATTTGGTGATTGGAACAGTAAGAATAGAATAAAACATCAGATTTTACTAGAACATTAACACCTTCCTGGAGTTCCTACTGCATATTTATCAACATTATAACAGTATTTTAAAAGCAAATTGAGAAGACAGGGCAGGGGGGAAGACAGAAACAATGGTTTTGTACCTGCTAACACACTGCATACATCAAGCAAACATACAAGTTTATCCAGGACAATGCTCCTGATCTTATAGTATTAGTCTTGCTGTTGATATATATATATACATAGTGGTTCCTGTTAAATAGGGAGTGTTGTTATGAGGTTATATTATATTTTTTAAATTCCTTTTGAAGTTGAAAGTACCACTTGGAGATTTCACAAGTCATAGACAGACAAAAACAAAGCCAGGTTTCTACTCTAACCAATAATATAAAGTAGCACTGCTTACTCCTTCATATTCTGTTGATAGGATCAGCAACTACCCCTACACTGTAAAATTGACGAAATACTTTTAACATAAAAAAGATAATTTCTTACCTTACAAAAGAACTTGAAAGGAGTCCAGCAAACCCAGCTGCAGCTCCAATAACAGCTACTTTTCGACAGCCAAACAGGTCTGTGAATATGCTGACTATTGGAGAACAGAAGAAGACCATCCCCATAGAAAGAGAGGTCACCCATGCTGCAAAATAGAAAAACAGCATTTTAGAAGACAAGTGATTTAAGCTTTTGGCTAGTATTAGTTTTAGTTCAGCAACATGAAACCTTAGAAAAAAGCTGATGAACAATTGGGTAACTATTTTTAAAATGTTTAAATACATTTTAAAATATATTTACTTAACACGGGTAAAAAAAGCCTGACCAATTTATGTAATCAACCAATTTAGACCTCATCAGCTCAAGGAATGCAATTACCTACAGAAGTTATTACTTTTACTTTCCTTTTTTTGTTAAAAAGACAATTACTCCTCCAGTAACTAACCTAGTATTCAAACTGATGACTAGGCCATTAAAGATACCTTTGAGGCTCCATATCCATTACTACATCAATTAGCACATTTCACTTGATATAATTCTAGACTTTTAAGTAGCTAGGTTTGCTGAAAAAAAATAACAAATATTTAACTTACTTACATAGATCTAGATCATATTGAACATTATTAATGAGTAAACAAAAATAGGCTTTTATACTGTAATATACATATTAGGAATATGATTTTACTTTAAACAAAAAGAACTTGAGCTAGTACAACCATTTCCATATATAATGGGAAAATGTCACTATATCTGATAGTGGTCCAGTGTTATAGACATTGTTAAAACTGTACTTGTTTATAAATGAGTCCTTAGATCATTAAGATTCAGTGCAGCTGAGTACACTAAAGTTTCAGCCACAAGTGTGTTCTTTATTCTAAGTGTACCAAAAATACCTTCACATAACTTAGGTAAAAGAGAATTTGATTCATTTAAAAGTCACTTTCTGCTTCACTTCATACAGGTGTCCAGGACCACATCATTTACCTGTTATCATCTAATCATTCTTTCAAACATGCATAAACAGTTCTCCCAGGGGATAAAGGTAAATCAAGCTGCTCTAGCACAATAGTTATAATAAATATATTCAGGTGGGCAGATGTCCCCATTTATTTGGGGAAAAAAAAATTGGTCTAAACAGGTAGTGGAAACAGCTGCTGATGCAAGTTGCATTACAAAAAACATTTTAACTTCTTTTTGAATTGTATGAAAGATGAAAGAACTCTTTCAACCTGGAACGGATTTAAATCTGTGTAACTAGAATTTTCTTTAGAATATCTTTCCTAAAGACACAATTAGATAAACAACTGTGATTCAATGATAAGGGCAGATAAAAATATCAGGAAAAAATATAACTAAGAGACCTAAGAAGAATATTTGCAAGCATATCTATCAATACCAATACTTAGAAATGATGTTGTTAAGGTGACAATGAGCCCTACACATCAATGAAGGCCCCACTGTGCAAAGCTCTAAAGAAAACAGAGTAGAACAAACAAGCAAACAAAAAAAAAAAATGTTTCTTCAAAGAGTTTACAATGTAAATGAAAGACAAAAGAGAACAGATGACTGGAAAAATAGAAATGAGAGTACCAGAAATAAATCCTTTATTTTAGGGCAAACAATGATCTCAATGAACCATGACCTAACTGTTTGGGAGCTGGGGGAGAGGGGGGGCAGCTGTTTTTTAGGTTTTTTGAGCATGTTATAAATATAATGGAGTTTCAAGATGCAACCTTAGGAAGAGATGCTTTTATGGGCATTTCCTGGGTATAACTAACCCAGACAAGATAGCCTGCCAGCCTTGCAGCAGAAACGAGCTGTATGAAGGGAAAGCACAGCAGATGAGGAAGAAAAAGGCCCCTGTGACACTGATGAAAGGCAGAAACCAAATTTAGGAAAGATCTGTCCTTTCTCTTCTTCTGCAGTCAAGGAAAGCCCAAATGTGCCTTGGGTGTGGCAAGAGATGACTTAAGAGATCTGTCCCCTTTTACAGCCCAGATGGCTCCTGATGTTGCAAGATATCGTTATACCAACTACACTCTGTAAGCAGGAGTCGGAGTAAACATTCTCATACAGCCTGGAGACCAGCCACTTGTAAAGCTTTAAGAAGTCCAACTTCTATACAGCTCCTCATCTTTCCACTTATCTTTCCTAGAGTGAGCTATGTAGAGCCTGCATTTCTACTGTCCAAAGGAAACTGCAAATGCTAGGAGACAGAACATCATGGCTTCCTGTCATCCCTCCAAATAAATCCCACCACCATGAACAGTCCTCAGCATCTCTGCATGACTTGCAGGGCAGCACTAAGAACCACAGATTACTTGTGACACCTGGGGTATCTGCAAGGCCAAGAGAAAAGACAGCTAAATCTTGAGAAGTGGGCAGTACAAGACTGTCGAGAGTCACAGTAGCATGAAGGTACCAAGGAATGGGTGAATATTTTGTCAGCCTTCCTGACTAGGTATAAAACAAAGGCAACTGTGGCACCAGACAAGCCCACCAGAGATTATTGGTTATGAGAATGCAATCTCACATGAACAGGTATGCACACCCCATTCATGAAGACAAACAGGTAGAGAAACCAGGCAACTGAAACATAATTTAAGTAGCTAGCATAAAGTCACAGGCTAAATTACTTCACAGACACAGATATGACCCCAGCAGTCCTAATTTCCAATTAGCACAGGCTGAGATTCAATCAGCACTCTCTGCAGTGAAATCAGATAGTTTACAGTACTTTTTAATGGCTTACACAGCTAATAAAACAATTGGAATATAAAAGTCTGAAGTAAGAACACTCAGCCCAAATCACACTCAGTTAACAACATGCTGGCTTTGTCTCTTCGTGCTTCCAGGAACTAAGAAAAGAAATATGCCTTTCTTATTACTTGATTCTCTCTACTTTTTGTTACAGCAATGACAGGCAAAGCCTAAAAGAGAAGAAAGGTTCCCACTGATTTTTGACACAAAAGACATTTAAGAGGAAGGACAATGACCTTGTCTGAAGTGTTTCAGAATGGCACTGCGATTATGCTTAAACTGCGGAAGTGGGAGCCCACGCTTTACCACTTATCTACCTAATGGAAACTGAAGCCCTGTAAATTACAACTTCAAGTTAACACAAGGCTATTGTGTACTACCAAAATGTAACTTAAAGAGATGTTGTTGGAATGTCCTCTATGAGCAGCTTTACTATTTAATGAAAAGAGTGTTCCTGAAGCTTAACTTCACGTGTATGCATAGTTCAAGAAAATTTACTGTATTCATCCTTCATGAATAAAACAAAAAGAATTAAGACAAACAGAACAGCACATGTGTAAATGTTAATTTCCTTAAGGCAAAAAATTTTTGCTGCAATATCTTGATCCTATAAAGAAATTTTTGTCTACAATATATTCAATAGATCCAAGTAGTATTTAATTTCACTTTTCTCAAATAAGTTTTCAAGCATTCTTATACTTTTTCACTCAGTATGACAAAGGTACATTTTTAAATAGAAATTACAACAACTATCCCAAATAAGTAATGTGAAAAAATTACAAAAGCAGTTTGCCAGAATAATGAGCGCTTTCTGGAGCAGTTATTACACATTAATTAAAACCTTTCTCCTCCAGGCTACTGGCTGCTTTCCTGGCCACAAGCTGGCTTTATTCCAGAGCTGTTAATTCAGGTACTAATACAGCACCTAATTGCTACATATAACTGCTTTCATATTCATACAGAAAATATTTTGATAGCCATAGAAGAAAAGCTAATCCTATTTTAAGGACTTAAACCTTTCTTAAGGCACTGGAAGTTAAGAATTAGCTCCTCAAAAGATTGTCACTGCAGAATAACAAATTCCCAAGCTTCCCTACAAGATGGAACAGAAATTATCCTTAAGATAAAAATATCAGACTAGAGAGCCATTGGTAGCATCTACACTGAAAAGTCTGTTTCTATGCCATTAAAACACATAATAGATTATAAAAAACCCAAACAATTATAATGAAAGTTATTACAAAATGAGAAGTCACAGTTACATGTTCTTTTCTTATCAGCTCACTAGAAATGTATGTACTTCAGCTATAATCTAAGCATATGTTCTCATATTTTTTTATTTCTCTGTTCAAAAAGTCTATAGTAATGAAACTATAACACATACTCGACAAATATGCTGCTGTTTTAACCATGAGTTTTTAAAAATCCACCTTATTTTAAATAGTCTTTTGCCTTCAGCCATACAGAATCCAACATCTGAGCATTCACAAAATCATTCCCATTATCACAGCTTGATTACATAATACACACTTACCTACCAAACTATGAACCAAACTCTTAAATGTTTTAGTTCATTCTTTAGACACAAGCACTAGGACTTAAAAGCAACAGAAAATAAACCATTAATACCATATCACATTGGAATGTTTTATTGTGAAAAGTTTAAATAAAGGCTACTCATCCATAGCATTCCTCTTTACAATCAAAATTTTTCTGTATATTACAATAATAATCTTATCAGTTTAATCCTCACAAGTCTCTTTCAAGTGGTTAGCTTAACATAGTAATAACACTCTTCATTCTTTAATGAACTTTGAGAATTTTAAGATCTTCCCCTGATATTTTTCTGGTTGAGACAGGGAACAAAAAGCTACTGTCTGGAAGACAAGTGATATGAGGCAAGTGAAGAGAAGAATATTTACATTAAGCATTCAAGATCAACTAAAAATATTTTGTTTCCCCACATTAAAAAAAAAATAATAATTTGTGTGTGTTTGTGACATTAAGCATTCAAGATCAACTAAAAATAATTTGTTTCCCCACATTAAAAAAAAAAAATAACTTGTGTGTGTTTGTTTAGCTCACACAGCAAACCAAGGCAGTGGTAAAACTACAGTTAACTGGATAGCCTGCAGACTAATCTGTTTGGCACTACACATACCAAGACAGAAGCACAGACTGTGGAAAGTGAGAGCAAACTTTCTACATTTAATATAACAGATTCTCATCTGCAAAGACACACTGGTTTTAGGCACTTGCAAAATAGACTGTCCACCCATCCCCTAAACCAGTACTTCTGCTCACTGTCAGACATCCTTCCTACAAGTCAGTTCTCCCACCATCACATTATTTAAATAGTACAGTAGTTCAGGCCATACTACACTG